GAGAGTCTGCAAGTAGCAAAACGAGGAATATATTCTTACGAATATACTGACTACCACCTATTGTGGCGCATTGTATTTCAGTACGCAACGCATATCTGTTCGACCGACGGACGCGGCTGTTAGAGGTGACTGCTGATTTGCCTCCTTAGAACCTGAGAAGAATAGCGCGTCTTTAAACTAAACTGGTAGCTACCAGTAAGGGGCAATGTATCTAAAATATGCATTTCGCATATTAAATTTATCGCATAAGTTTTCATGACTATGAAGTTTTCATGAATAATTTTGTTTTTAATTTAGATTTTCCTTCGTGATTTTGGATTGTTCGACCGTTATATTTGGGACGCAGTGATTATCGATGAAGCGCATCGGTTGAAAAATTCCAAAAGCCTTTTCTATTCGAAGCTGAGCGAAGTTAGTACTGAGGATCTTCTTGTTCTGATGTCCCTTTGTGTTCGATGTCATGGTTGCCACTATTTCAGCGACGTTTACACGCGCAGTTGTGATAATGGGCTTCACTTTTGGTCCACTCGATTTACTTAATCCACCCATAACTACAGTTAGGTCATATACCAAGGTTGGTCAGTCGGTAGAGCGGTCTTGAATTCGAACTTCGGTCGGGTTACTCGTCCTGTTTCCTTGCAGGGTCGATAAAACTTTGTGGAAAAAGCAGGAAACTAGACAGTCTGCTTGTCAACAGCTGCTGTAGATTTTCCATTAAAAATGACGCACTCCTAGCTGATTTCATAGAAATAAAGATCAGTGCTCTACTCTTAACTTCAATAAAAGAAGGGCGTCAGAAATGGCTCCGTTATGAAACTAAAAGGAAGAACCACTTTTCAATCGTTACAAGACCACCAGTTCTAATGCAAAGTATTTGCGGGGTGCTGAGATAAAGTGTTGTTTTAGATAAGTGACTTACTTCACGCTTATGAATTGCGGATTAGAATCTCTGCTCAGCGTAAAATTTCCTTATTAACTGCTATTCTCTTGAGAAAGACTCCATCTTACCGTTTTTCGATAAAACTGGCTGAGAAACCGGTATCAGGTGGTTGATTTGCGGAGAATATGTACTGCATAGCGTTCTTGTATGATAATGCGACCAGAATTACGACAATGATGGCCATTCTGTCTAATGCTAGCGCCTTAGGGCTGCAATTCTCATTAATCTACCTGGTAGTTGATTCAAAATCATTAGAATGCATAAATTGTAAATTCATGTAGTGCTGACTGATCTTAAACTCTAACTGTTATCAGAATGTTCGAATGTTCATATAAAATTTCTCACTGTCCCAAAAATGGCCGTGTTGATGAAACAGTAATCTCATAGTAATTGAAAATTAATTCAAATCGTCTACGTTGAATGTTTTTTAAGGTTCCTGATTATTGCTAAATATTTTTTTTACCTTTCAAGACAATATTTCATGTGCTGCTTAATCGGTGGGAAATTGCCTTCGGTATTAGTAAAATACGGTTCTGACTAGCAGTGTCATTACTAATAGTGCTGATAGTATTATTGCTGGTTGTATACGATTATTAGAAATAGTAAGGTTCTTAGCCCTCCCATCATCCAGTCCTCGTGTCATTGTCTGCAATTTTTGAATACCTTTTCCTTAACTATCCTGATCTCCTTCCTGCTACTGAAGTTTTCATCACACTGCCTACTTTGTTCTAGAGAATCTATTTCACATAGCTGAGTCTCGGAGCCTGCCTGATGGTAAAGCCCTTAATGTTCCCATTACGAACGCACCGCACCCTGTGTGATTGTCCTTTTTGATACCGCACATGATATGTACGATGGTCTATATATTGTAAATTTATACAGCACTATGTGTAATGTACAGTGCGAAGGGAAGCTGCAGGTAAATGAAGGTTGCAGACGACTGCACTAATGCAATGACCACAATTTCGCTACGCTGGATAACTGAAACAGGTCTTCGCTTCCAGCTTCCCTTGTACACCTTATCGAACGCCTTTTTATTAAATTCTGCACCCGGTACTATGGAATATGATTGTAAGCGCCGTCGATATTCCAGAGGAAGTCGTCGTCATGATTTATAGAATGTAAGACAGGGAATACGCATTGTGAAGGGGAAGGGCGCATTTTAGAAAGCTTTGAGATTAGAAAGCACGCCAGATAAAGCTAAATATTTTCTTCTCCGCCCTTCAGTATAGTTTTGGATAACGTTTTATGAAATAACCCTGCAAGGAAGTGCGAGGAGAGTCTTCTGCTAGAATAAAGACAAAGTTTAGGATATCCGAGGAAATACCTAATTGATCTGTAGTATGCCGTTGACATAGTCTTATTGACCAGGAGCAACGATTGCCTTTGTTTCATAACTAAATCGGTGCGCAAACCCTGAACTAAAGCCTTCAATTCCAGACAACGATGGTGATGAACACAAAGAGAACAGTGGAACTGACGGTATGCCACAACAAGAACTCCACTGAAGCAATCTCGCTTATCAGATGCATCGAGACCATCATCTCGAACGGTGTTAATTATCACCAAGACCAATGCGACTGCACTGACTTGCTTCATCGTTAGCTCGCCAACTACTTCTATGAGACCCGATGAAATATCGATGGCCAGCTCATTACGTTGCAAAGAAAAATTAACTGAGATATGCTGTAGCTATGAAATTTTTTTGTCGTCAGTGCAGTAAGCACCTAATAGTAAAGTGTTAAATTTTGAGATGAGGGTCATCCCCTTGCAGTATGGCAATGTTGCTAAAGATAGTGATTAAAAAACTAACATACTGCATGACCCTCGATTAGGAAAGAATTAATTTGCACCCTCAACATGTGCAGTTAATGTAATATAGAATATAGCTTCACTATATTTAGTAAAACATGTGTATACATCATGCTGTATATAATCCCGTAATCGTTTTTTTGCGAAACAAAGGTTGAACAGATACATGTACTGGGTGCATCGTTCTAGGTTATTCTTTTACCATTGCTGAGATTTTGCTTGTTGCAGATAGAGTTCAACTTTGCCCTGCTGCTTACTGGTACTCCAATACAAAACAACCTAGGAGAACTATACTCGCTTCTGTCAGTAGTGGACAAGCGCCAATTTCCGATCGAAGAAAAAGACACCTTTTTACAGCGCTACCAATCGCGCAGTACCAAGGGTTGGTCGTTGTCGATGCCAAGGAGACTAAGCTGAGACAATTATTTTCTGACGTTTGTTTAGTGATGAAAGAGCT